GTTGCATAAGTTCATCTCAGTGCAGCCAGGGGATTTGCCATATCTCATCTGGTGCCTCATTATTTACCTGCTGTACTGCATGATTCAATTAAATGAAATTATTTTTAACTGTTATTGTGGAAGGCTCTGGCTCTTTGGAGCAGATTCCTCTTGTGAATGGCCCTGAATGGATTGGGAAGAAGCTGGTGGGGGGCCGTGTTGTGGGGTACAGGAGCACCAGGCAGGGAAAACGCTGTGGCCCTTGCTGCTTTGCCTGCCTAGTGAGAAATGCGTTAGTGCCAGCCGAAATTGTTTCTGTGCCTCTTCTGCAGCCCTGTGAAAATTAAACCCCAAACCGTGACCTTCACCATCAGTGGGAAGGCGCACGAGGCGCAGCTGACGGTCGTGTGCCCCAGCGCTCGCAGCAAGAGGGGAACGGCCGTGCTGCGCTTCAAGAGGCGCCGTGTGGGGACATCCCAGAAGCTGCCCCTGGTCGTCCGGAACGATGGCATCATACCTCTCAAGGTGGGGAGGACCTGCTCAAGGAATGGTCTGGTGTGGGAACGAGCGCTTGTGGCACAGGGGAAGGGTCCCAGAAAACACGGCAGACCTGGGAAGAGGTGTCAGAAATTCTTTTGAAGCAAGTGACTGACATCTGTTCTCCAAGAAGGGAATTCTTGGAAATTTTCCATCCAGTCTTTCTTCTTTAAGTTGAACACAAGAAAGGTTGTGGAGTATTTTCCCCCCGTCTCTCAGGTCACCTTTTGTTCTCATGGACATGTGTGATTTTCTAGTTCCATTACATTGTATTTGATCCCAGTTTACTACATTTGAAGTAGACTTAGATGTGGTTTAATTACATTCTGCTCATTATTTTCTGTCCTGTTTGGTTCTCTGTCAGTTCTACCCAGATGCCTCTGAACGCCCTTTTTTCTTGTCTGGTTTGACTTCACTTTTGTGCTAAGTGCTGTTAGTAGTGGGAGAGGTGCTGGGCTGCCATGTGGGACCAGCAGCACTGTGGTGTCAGTCCCTGTGCCACCCTGTACTCACACCAGCATCATTGTGCTCTGGTTTCCCTTTTCTCAGTTTATGTTACGCCTGGAGCACGAGTACGGAGCGTTCTTCTTGAAGGGCAGGGCCTCCACACTCGAGGTATTCCGCACTGAAGATGAGGACTCCCTCATAAATGGTAAATTCATTACCTGTGAAATGTGATCATGCAAAGAGGGAAAACTCAGCCAAGCCTGCTCTTGGCTTCTCCGAGCAGCAGCCAGATGTTAGGCACAGTTTTGTTCCCTGGGCTCTCTGTCCCCCAAGCTTTTCTTGGGGCCTTTTTGCAGGGTTTCCTCCTAGCAAGTTGTAGGAAGTTCTTCTGTTCTAGATGTGGGGCGTTGAGTTGTGGGGGACTGTCACTACCACAGTGGACCCTCTGAGGTATTTGCTGCATGTAGGAAGGTACCAACCTGAACAGACACAGCCCTTGAGCACACAGCCAGCCAGCAGAAGCCAAAAGCACTCTTTGGCTCAGCTTTGCATATGGCTGGAGCTGGCTGGAAGCAGATGGAATGAGGGCTGGGCATCAGCCTGAGATTAAGCTGCTTAAGTGGTGATGTGTCTGGAGGTGGCATAGGCACAAGGTGTCTTGTGAACATAGGAAGAAGGTCTGGAACTACTGGGGGTAGAACCTGTGCTTAGAAGGCAGCTGGCTTCAACCTCTTATTCCTCATATCTCCTATGGAAATATTTCCTCTGTACAGCTGTATCACCTAACTCTGATTTCCATTGCTGTGCAGGGAGCAAGCCCACAAAGCCTTTCTTCCTTCTGCGTCACGGGGAATCAGCAGAGTTTGATGTCATTTTCAAACCCACCCTGGCTCAACGTCTGGAAGGGGAGATTCATCTGTTGGTGGCGGACGCCTGCTCTAACAAGATCCTAGTAGAGCTGGTGGGTGAAGGCCACAGAGACAGATTCATCTTCAGAGGACTAAAGGAAGACATAGAGGAAAGGGATGCTAAGAGCAGCCTGAATAAAGACATCATTGATGGTAAGAGAGGAGAGGCTGCCAAGGTGGAGCAAGGAGGAGGACAATGTCTGATCATGTGTGTCCTCCCTCTAGCCAGGCCTGGTCTGTCACCCACGGGACTTGGTGGCCTGTGGGCGTGGCAGCCATGCATGCAGAGCAGTGTGTGCTGTGCTGCCCGTTGCTGGCTTAAGGATGTGTCAGGGTGTTTCCCTGGAAGTGGTGGGATGGGGAACTCCCTCCAGAGGGAGGAAGGCTTGGAGCAAGGAAGCACTGAACGTGCAGGTGTCTGTGCACGTGAGGGGGTGTGTGGAGCTCCCTGCATGCTGAGATCTCTTGCTCTCCTCCTTTACAGCTATCAGAGTGAATCACATGGACTTTGGGCACTGTCCTGTCGGGAAGTGCTGCCGCAGGACCTTCGCCATCAGGAACCGCACCCGGCACCAGTTCCTGCGCTTTGAGTGGGAGGCAGACGGCCCATTCCACATCTCCCCCAAGGTGAGCGTGGACTGCTCTGCCTTTCCCCACTGCTCAGGCCCTGCCCTGGTGTTCCCAGGAGCTGGCAGGGAGTCCTCACATGCCACTGATAGCCTGTTCCAGTGCCATGTAGGAGATGCAGTCCCTGGCTTGGCTGGGCCAAGGCTGCCAGCCTTGCAGCAAAGGCTTCATGTTATGGCAGGTGGCACCTTCTGTTCACACTTTTGTCTATCAGACTTTGCATAAATCCACTCTGAGGTGCAGATTCCTGGCACAGCTGCTTACCACATCAGTTCCTTTTGCTGGAAGTCCTGCCCTTGGCAGTGCTTCAAGTTTGGTCTTGACTCCCTGATTCCCCCTAGGTGGGACACCTCCGTCCTCGCCGTTCCAAGAAGATCAGAGTGTCCTTCAAATCAAATGTCCCAGTCACCTACAGGAGGCACCTTGTGAAATGTAAGGTGACCAAAATCGAGTTTCAGCTGCCACCAAGGAAGGTTCCGGACTGGGATGACCAACAGTGCATTGTCACGTGGAAGAGTACCCCCAGGAAAGACCCAGGAGACAAATTCTATAAAATGCAGAAGGTAAGAAGCAAAATGGCAAAAAAAGCCAACCCAGCTTTTACAAAAAGAACCACCATAACACCATCACTGCTGGCTGTGCAGCTCCTGCTTCCTCTGACATCAGACAGCTGTGAGGTTCACCAGCAGTGCAGTCCAGGGCAGAGGTGGATGCACAGTGACTGGATGCACTCACACAAGAGGGGAAGCCTTTGGACAAGAGACCTTTAGCCACACAAACCATCAGTCTGTGCCACAAGCACAAGTGTTGCAGCCCATGTTGAATGAGGGACAATGTTTTATGATTTTATCCCATTTTATGGTGTTAGAAATGTCTTCGTCTCATTTGGTGCCTTTTCACCAACAAGGAGTTAAGTCTGCTGCACTCTGTCTCTTCTTTTGAAGCAGAGAGAAATCCACTTCTCCTGCATATGCTGGTGAAGTCCAAGTTTTGTCTGCATGGATACCAGAGAATTTGGTTGTAGTCTCTGTATTGTGTGGGATATCTCATCATGGAGTAGCTCAGGCACTGTGTGACAGTATGGAGGAGTCAGAGAAGGATCATCTCCAGAGACTCCGGGTTTTATTTTCATTATTGCCACGCAAACTCATCTTGGGTGAAGGTTCATTCTGAGTTTCTAGATCATTTTAAGGCTTCTAAACCATCCTCTTTTCTATCAGAACATCTGCAGTTGGAGACTTTCCTAGTGAGATCTCTCACATCCCAAAATGCCCATCCCCAGCTCCCAGCAGTGTGGCTGTTGCTCCACACAAGAAATCTGGAAAGCACTTTCTCCTAAGATAAGGAAAAGGTGCTTTCTAGAATTCTTCAGTCTTGGGGTTCTTCATCTACAGAGCTCCAGCAGGGGAACTTAAACCAAATTTTGAGACCTGCTGGATTTATAGGGGACAGGAAAAGAGTCAGTCCCTCTGCAAGGTTGAAGTACAGGGACTGGAACACAGCTATAGTCTCCGTGGGGATATTAACAGCTGTGGTAGTGACTGCTTGGATCAGTGGGTAGAAACAACTACTGTAGCAGAGCAGTCCCAATTTTGTCATCTTTCCAGGGAAGTAAAAGTGAATGGTCCTTTCTAGTCCCGCTGTGAGGCTGACCTTGGAGGCCAGAAGATTCCCTTCCAGGCCTGACCTTCTGGGCTCTGCTCAGTGACTCCTCCCTCCTGTGTTTGCAGGTGGTCGAGCCAGTCCCAGAAACGGATCACACTGAGGTGGAGGGTAGCACCCAGGAGGCCGAGGTGCGCCTCAGTGCTGCTGTGGCCTACACCCAGCTGAAGACGAACACCATCGTGGTTCAGTTCAAGAACACCTTGCCCTTCCACACAAGGACAGCCACGTGAGTGCTGGAGGCCAGGCACTGCTCCTCCTGGGAGCAGGAGCTGCCTTTGCCCAGGGCTGGCCCAGTGCCTGCTTGCCACAACTCTGCCCCAGCCCCAACCAGCACAGGCCCATTGTCGTGCACACAAGGCCAAGCAGGAGATGGTGGTCAGGAGAGCCTCAGTGCTGCCAGACCTTTCTGCTGAGAGCAGCCATGGGTTTGCTCTCACTGCATGTCACCTGTCCTCATCTGCTCAGGAATAAGTTTGCAGTCAAACCAAGACCTAAAGTCCAGAGTAAGCCCCTTAGCTTCCATGTCCTGGGCACCATGTTGGCCCTTTCCTCTCAAAGATCCAGACTTGGAAATACTGTTTAGGGCCACCCAGGACAGCAGTCTGAGCAGCAGGGTTGCCTGGGGAAGAAGGTGCTCCTCAGCAGAAAGTGATACCAGGAGTTCCTAAGACAATGTTACTGTACTAATTGCTTTATATTTATTGGACATTTTTTTTTTATTCCTCCTTCTTGCTTTTCAGTTTCAGAATTCACAACACAGGGAAGGTACCTCTGGAATACTACTGGGAGGAACCTACAGCTAGTAAACCAGTGAAGAAGGGATACTCGGTCGCTCTGATGCGTAAGGGCATTTCACCCCAAAACATGAATTGCTTTTTCATCCTTGTCCACACGTCCACTTTCATCAGCATCTTCCCAGCCGCAGCTGGAGAGTTTTCACCTTGTCCCTCTCTGCCTTTCAGCCTTTTCTGTTCTTGCTCTGCCCCTTCTGCTCTGCAAAGGAGCTGAGCCAGGCTCTGGGGAGAGCCACGTGCTGGGTCAGGACTGGGAAGGGGGACATCAGGTCATCTCTTTGAGAAGTCTGAGACTGGGAAAAGCAGTGGTGTAACGAGTGACCTGCCCTGGAGCCACTGTCTGTGTGCAGTTCCTCACTCCAGGGCAAATGCAAAGTCACTGTCTAAAAGCAACTCTCCTGCTTTGGCACAGGAATGTGTGCTGCAGGCAGAGACGCTGCTCCCAGACACTATTTCCTGCTAGAATAAAGGACTTGGCCAGAGATGCTCCAAGTGCATCCCAGCTCTCTTCCACCTACGTGCAGCAGGAGGCGGAGTTGCTGGGAACACAGGTCTTTGAAAGGTGTTCTCTTGCTCCCTTGCAGGTCGGCTCCTCTCTTCTAAAATTATAAAGCATCGCAGAAAGCTGCTGCGACGTTACTGGCGGCGGCTGGCCCGTCCTCCTAAAGTGCGGCGGCGGCGGCGGCGGCGGCTGCGGTGGCCTCTCACGAATGAGGACTTTGCCCAGTGGTGGTGCCAGCTGGTGCGGTTGGATCCCGACCTATTGCTGGGTCCTGGGGAGGAGCAGGATTCCAAGCAGAAGCAGGATTCCAAGCAGCAGCAGAAGGTTTCCAAGCAGCAGCAGCAGGAGGATTCCAAGCAGCAGCAGCAGCAGGATTCCAAGGAGCAGCAGCAGCAGGATTCCAAGCAGCAGCAGCAGCAGGATTCCAAGCAGCAGCAGCAGCAGGATTCCAAGGAGCAGCAGCAGCAGGATTCCAAGCAGCAGCAGGGTTCCAAGCAGCAGCAGCAGGATTCCAAGCAGCAGCAGCAGCAGGATTCCAAGCAGCAGCAGAGTTCCAAGCAGCAGCAGCAGCAGGGTTCCAAGCAGCAGCAGAGTTCCAAGCAGCAGCAGCAGGATTCCAAGCAGCAGCAGCAGCAGGGTTCCAAGCAGCAGCAGCAAGGTTCCAAGCAGCAGCAGCAGGATTCCAAGCAGCAGCAGCAGGATTCCAAGCAGCAGCAGCAGCAAGGTTCCAAGCAGCAGCAGCAGGGTTCCAAGCAGCAGCAGCAGCAGCAGGATTCCAAGCAGCAGCAGCAGCAGGGTTCCAAGCAGCAGCAGCAGGATTCCAAGCAGCAGCAGCAGGATTCCAAGCAGCAGCAAGGTTCCAAACAGCAGCAGCAGGATTCCAAGCAGCAGCAGCCTTCTAAGCAGCAGCAGCAGCTTTCTGAGAAGGAGCAGCTGGATTCCAAGCAGAAGAAGAGTTCCAAGAAGCAGAGCCGCTCCAAGGAACAGCACCTCCCTGAGCAGCAGCAGCCCGAGGAGCAGCAGCCTGAGCAGCAGCAGCCCGAGGAGCAGCAGCCCGAGCAGCAGCAGCCCGAGGAGCAGCAGCCCGAGCAGCCAGCCCCTTCCAAGAAGAAGAAAAAGACAAAGCACGTCTCTCTGCAGCATAGCAGTTCCTCCATGGAAATCTTCCCAGATCTGACCGATGAAACACCGGCGGCACTGTTCTCCATCGACCCCTACCGCGGCACCCTCGCTCCTGGCCAGATGCAGACCTTCCACGTGCGCTTCGCCCCGAAGGCTGTGGGCAAGTTTAAGACCATCATGGTGTGCAGGTGGGAAACGTCTCCACCAACTCACGCTACCGATGGGTGTCACTGAATCACAGGGTGGGACAGAGTGGAAGGGACCACAGTAGGTCATCTGGTCCCACTTCCCTGCTCAGGTGGGGTCGTCGCTGAGCACAGGGTTGTGTCCAGAGGGCTCTGGAATAATTCCAGTGAGGGACACTCCACACTCTCTCTGGGCAAGCTGTCACCTACACAGGAAAGAAGTTCTTCCTCAAGTTCAGGTGGAATTTCCTGTTCAGGTTCTGCCATTGCCTCTTGTCCTATTGCTGGGCATCACCAAGCACAGCCTGGTTCATCCCCCCTAACACCCTCCCTTCAGTCCCTCTGACTGGGATGGGGAGGTGGGCATGGAGTCAGGCAGCCCCAGAGAGGCAGCAGAAACACCCACAGGAGCACAGAAAGATCTGTGGAAGGCCAGATCATCTGGCCTTGGAAGGGAGGCACTGGGAAAAGACACCGTATGAAACATCACGCTCCCGGAAGGTTGCAAAATCTGGAATGAGAGATCTGGGCACCAGCCAGTCCCTAGCTCTGGTTCCTTTGGGGACAAGCAAGGCCTGCTTCTCTACATGGAACCCTGTGTGCTGTAGGTGGTTCCCAGGCACTTAACAGGTCATGGTCCTGCCCTTGCACCTCTGTGCAGTGAGTGCAGTTATTTAATGTGCTGCTCACTGCTTGCACAGAGAGAGGATGCAACACTGTGTGCTTTGCAAGGAGGCAGAAAAGCAGCTGGCTGTAAATGTTCCTCTGGCTAACACCAGTCCCCTTCTTCCTAGGATTCCTAAGCTGAGGCCAAGTCAGAAGAAGGTGCGGCTGATTTTGAGAGGCAGGGCCCGGGACAAGAAGAAGATGAGGTTTGGTAAACCCAAACGCTCGGCGTTACGGCAGGCAGAGGAGAGCCCGAAGCCCAAGAAGAAGGTGCACTGGAAACTGCCCCCTGAGTGAGAGCGTTTGTGTCAGCTGGAGCCTCCACAGGAGCCAGCAGCACCGTGCCTTCTGCTGCTGGTGGTCTCCCACCCTTCACCAGAGACCTCCGCAGCTACCCTTCCAGTGAACGCCTCTAGCTTATCTTTTAGTTACCTAAGTTAATTCACTAACTGTTGTTTAATTGTTGATTAAACAACTGGCAATAAATCGTTAGTTGTCAGCTTGTCTTGGTTGGAAAGACAGGTGTCTGCAGGACCTCTCTGGAATGGAAAATGTGACCCCCTTCCCTCCAAATTATTGTAACTGAAATTAAGGGGCTTTCAGGCAAAGATATGGGAAAAGGAGTAACAGTTCTTTACTAGCGTGTAAGGCAAACAAAAACAACACTGGCAGCAACAACAAACAGAACCAGATACCCAACCACGGCCTTCCCTTCGCTGCAGGCACTTCCCCTTTGCTGTAGTTCTGGTCACAGCTGGGCAGGGAAGGGAGGCAGCTAATGAATAAAGCAATTACTGAAGAAATTTTAATTAAGCTACACCAAGGAATACGCTGGCGAGCTCAAGCACTGTGTGATCAATTCGGAAGAACTTATTGCTGTGAGGGAGTCTATACAGGAATCAAACAGAGACTGAACAATGCTCAATTTGTTAAAAGGTAAATAAGAAGGTGATGAGAAAACACCCTGGTGAGGGAAGAGCCCTAGCCCTTAGACGCTTTCAAAATATGCAAATAAATTACACTGAGTTCCCCAGAATACAGAGGTGGAAATACCTTCTTGTAATAGTTGATCACCTCACCCACGGGGTAGAAGCCTTTCCTACCTCAACTGCAACTGCCTCCAAAGTGGCTAAGATGCTATTAGAACAAACCATTCCCAGATATGGCATAGTGAAAGAATAGACTCAGATAAGGGAACGCACTTGAGAAATTTTACATTCTATATGTGTGGAATTAGACATAAATTGGAGATTTCATACCCCGTGGCACCCTCAAGGCTCTGGATGTGTGCAGAGAATGAATGCTATCCTTAAGAACCATATTACCAAATTAATGGTTGAAAGCAGATTAGCATTATTAGAGATCAGAACTGCTCCAAGAAAGGGCAGAGGAGTTTCTCCCAGTGAAATGTTACTTGGGTTACCTTATCTGGGAAGGGAGGAGGGGTTGCCAATGGCTGAAACTAATGACTCGGCTCTCAGAAATTATTTGCAGGCAATTGTACTCTCTCTCATGGATCTTAGAAGAAAAGAGTTGTAACCCCAAACATCACCTCTAGACTTTCACATACACCAGGTAAAACCAGGAGATTGGGTTCTAATAAACTTGGAATGATGATGCCTTAACAGCAGCATGGGAAGGTCCCTTTCAGGTACTTTTAACAACTGAAACAATTACCAGGACTGCAGAAAAGCTCTCACGCCTCTCAAGTCAAAGGGCCAGTGGAAGCTCCTCCCCAAACTTGTGCAGTGGTACAAGGAAGTGACCCTTAAAAGTTAATCTTCAAAAGATGATTTAATAGTGAACAGTCAAGGGCAAGACTGGACTGACCTCTGTATTTGCCACCTGAGAGCCTTTTGCTCCTCTGTGGGCTGCAACCCCTTGGGCGTTGAGCAGTGGGAATATAAGGCAAACCAGACTTTGACAAAAGAGGAATAGGAGATTATGTTCTAAGCCTCTGCAAATTGCTGGATGGAGTGTCATGGCTTCTATGCTTCACCTCTACATCCCTGCAGTGTGCTGTTCTAGTGCACAGAGCTCAGGAAACAGGTATGGATACCGAGGAAGGCAACCTTTGGTGCTACAGTCACCATCTGAGGTTTGCATCATCCCAGCAAGCACAGATGGAACTGCTGATGGCAGACACTGCACACAAGCGTATCTACATCCTGCTTTGCTTGAGTTGGAGGAGAACTATGGACAGCAACCAGAACTGACAAATCAGGAACTTTTAAATAGACTGAATTTAACACTGACCTCAGAAAAGACTGATTAATCTTATTTATAACTGCTTCACAAAAGGAGCCAGTTAGTGCTGACCAGACAGGGTAATTAAATCAAGGGGTTCAGCAATAAAAGGATAATAAAAGGAAAGGGTGGATTGTGAGAGATGAGGTGAGATTTTGCTGAAGCCAAAAGGTTGTTAGGTTAAAGAATGAAAGGTGTTGTTTGGATTGTTTGAATTCGTTCTGGTTGGTTCAGTGTTGGTGCTGGAACACCATGACCTTCCCTGTGTGCATGTGCTTATTTATTATATTAAGAAGAAATAGCCACTGGTGTCCCTCTGAGGGAATGAGGGAAGATGACCCTTTACTACATGGGCCAGAGAAGTCAGCACTTGGGTTTCTCTGCTGAAAAAGACAAATCCTCTCTGCACCCTTGGCAGCTCCAGCTGTTTATCCGCAGTGAATTTAATCTTAGTTTTACATGAGATGTGGTCATGTGTACTCGGGAGAACTGAAAACTGCTGCAGGACTGAGGAAGGGCCAGGACATGTCTACTGTGGTACATAGAGTTGGTCACACATCCCACCTCAGGCTGCTGCCACTGGAACCCCTCAGCCTCTGACTGAGACTGCTGGTCATGAGCTTCCCAGGAGCTTGGTTTAACCCTTTCCCAGAAATGGCTTTTCCTTTAAATACTGCAGTTGGAAATCAGAGAAAGATCTGTATGGGGCCTGCATCCTGCTAAGGGGCGTCCTCATGCTATGGAAACACTTCAGCAGGACAGAGGGGTTTGTTTATTAACTCCGGGATAGAAGCAGCAGTTTTTAGCCTGGATGTGTCAGCCGAGGAATCAGGAACTGCCGCACGATGGCATTGTCCGCTGCAGAGAGAGGCAGAGGCTCTTCCAGCTCAGAAATCTTCGCAGGAGCCTTCCCTGCGGACAGAGCACGGTGTGAGCTCCTCACACTCGTGTTCAGGATAAGGTTACGCTGCCACTAGACTGGACTAACCCTCTCAAAATGGCTTTTTCCTGATGGAGGAATCTCTCTGTTCCCAGCTCCTGGCTGAGGTGTTTGAGCACAACAATCAGAGCCTGGCAGGGTTCTGCTCTTGCGCTGCAGTGTTGCATGAGGGGTGTCGCCTTACACTGAGGGAAACTGTGAGCAGCTCTTTGAGAATTAGTCAGTCAGGAACGAAATTAAGTCAGCTGAGACAAACAGTTATTGGTAATGAAAAAAGCAAAGACTTACTCTACTAAGGATGGCTAGAAAAGACAGAGCAAGAGGAAGAAAAATGGGAAAGGAGTTGGTGGGGGGAGAGACAGAGGCCTGGCTTAGGGGTAGGGCTGGCTGGACACAGGTGGCTCAGGGACGCAGGTGGCTCAGGGACACCGAGATGAAGCAGGCAGGGCATTGGTCAGGGATGCAGGGAGACAGGACAGATGTGAGGGTGAGCAAGGTCCAGCAAGGGCCTCAGCAGGCCAGAGTCAAAGCAGAAACAAGACATAAAAGGCCCCCAGACTCAAAAAGCAAGTTTGGAAAAAACCCCATGGCTTGCGTTGCAGTTATTTTCATGGCCCTGTCTCCTCCCAAAGCCTGCCTGCTGACAGGAGACCACTGGCCCAGTCCAATGCCCCAGTGCAGCCCCTCAGCAGAGACCTTTAGCCATGGATTGCAAAGTGTCTCTGGGGTACAGTGCCTTCGGGGCTCCCCTGCTGACAGCCTGTCCCCTGTGACACATGAACTGGCTGCCAGGAAAAGCCTCCCCAGCTACAAGGCTTTCCTCCATCTTCTCCTTGGTGCCTCCTGGACAGGGCACATGTATAACCCATTCCCCATATGCCTCTGACAACCAGGGTTGAGACAAGTCACAAGTAAATTGGCTCCTCAGACAGGATAATATGCTGTCACTGGTTTTGACACCAATGTGTCTGTGCCACAGTTTCCCAATTAAAGGCCTCAATTTTCTCTTGTTTTAATGATTTAAGGTTACCTCCTCCCTTTTGACTTCAGTTATTCCCTGTCTGATGTTGCTTGCCAGCACCAGGAGATGTGATCACTGTACCTGTCCATGAGAATCTTTGATAGAATTCTTGGCAGCTCCCTCTAAATCTCGCCAAGACTTGGTTCTGTGTTTATCTGAGGAGGGCTGAGGTGCCCTGGTTCACGTCTGCCTGCTCATCCAGGGAGCTGTCTGATGGTTGTGCTGTTCAGTTGTTTCTGCAGAGCTTTTGAAGTCTGCTGCAGGCCTCAGCCTCCATAGCCCTGAAGCTGGAGCACGACTGGAAGATGTGTATTCTGTGTCCCTGATGCTTTTCGCCCGTGGTTCCTCAGCCCACTGAACACTTAAAAGATTTCTTTCCTGTCCTAAAGGAATGTTTTATTTGGATAGGGCGCACACTTTCAAAAGTAGCTCACAAACCTGTTTGAACAGCTTCACATAAATTTCTTTTTGATGTGCTTTCTTTCCATGAGCCGATACCAGATTCTTTTCTTTAGGTGTGTTTGTAGGGCACTGTCTTTTGTCTCCCTTTCTTCATGTTCCTACCCACGCTTCTCTCTCAAAATAGAGAAGGTTCAACACCCCTGCCACCACCACCTTGTTAAAATAAAAGAAATAACCCGTAATGTCGACTTTCTGGAGCAGTGTTCAGCTTTTTCTAGGTTATAATTAAGCTTCTATTTTAACTTGATTAACCCAACAGTAAATTTAACTTTTCTAAACTGAAAAAATTAAAAGCTTGAATTAAAGATCTGAAAGTAGTATAAGCCTCTTCCATCTTCCTCCTATGGGAGTGACTTCAAGGTGATTAGAGATCCAGCCTCTTAGTGCAGAAATTCCTTTTTGGACTACACATGCTTTACAATCCCACTGATTTCAAGGTCTCTGGGGAAACTTGGGTGACATTCAGCAAAAATAATTCTGATGCTGCAGCTCAACCGAGATAGTGTTGGTATTTGGATCTGATTTAGTAACATAATCCCCCTTCTTCAGCTGAGATTCCAGATACTAGTCAGCATCTCCATGTTTAAAGAGAGGTGCTGGCTCATTACCTGCCATGAAAGGACATTGCTTAATTCATTATTGAAATATGAAGCCAGAAGGTTTCTATATATTTTTCTTATGTGGGGAAAAAAATCTCTTTTTGCAGTGCAAAATACCAATACCCCTAGAAACCTCTGTTT